GCTCCGATATAGATTTTGAACCACGCCTTTGCATCATCTCTAGCAGATCATGTTCAGATTTCGTTAGGGGGTAAGCGGCCGGGAGAGCATATTCTAGAATGGGACGGACATGCGAAGAGAACAGCGTTCTAAAAATCTCCGGCATAATTTCACAGAATAATCTCCGCAAAGCCCAGAGCATTCGGTTGGCTGAAGCGAGCTTGTGTGTCAAGTGATGTCTTGAGATCGTGCGAGACGATGACTCCCGGGTCCTTCTCATGTGACAGAGTTGAGATATCCTCCGATATGATATGCACCATCATCATCAACAACAGTACATCAGCTATTTGAACTAATGGTTCGCTGCCATACAACCATGATGATCTATGAAATAAAGAATAATAAGAGGGATAGAAGGGGGACTTACCTGGAAACCTTAGTGCCCTGTGCAAACATCCAGAGTCACGGCGCCTAGACCTTGTGTAGACAACATACTGTCACAAACAGCTGGCTATGGTGCAAAGATAAGACGGCATCGGCGAGACCGCTTCCTTGCGGCTTTCACTGCCACGCGTCATAATCAGCCATTACCCCACAGATAACTCAGCACCATACACATTATAAACAGGTAGTCCAGCTAGGAGACGGCAGCAGACGCGCCACTGGTGTCGGTTTCGAGCCGTCCTGTAAAGTCTCGAGCCAAGCACAAGGCGAGTCACATGGACTCCAGCCCGGAAGGTGAGACGGACCAACGGCACCCAGTTTGGTCGTCAGTGACTTCATTTCCCGCTGCCAGGTCAACTTCTGTCCACCTCGAGCTTTGCGCCACCCTACACTTGGTAGACTAAAATAGGCCCTCCTAGGTAAGCGGTGACCAGGCATATGTAGCACGTGCCCGAGCCAACGCAACTTATTCAGTGCTATCTGTTGTTCTAGGGAAATAGCATGATTATCACTACCTAGTACTGGCCTACGCACATCATCGTTGCGGACATGCTGGTGCCATCCGACTCCAGCAATGCTTCGCAGACAACGATGATCAAAGACTTGAAGGCGCCTCAGATCTTCAGACCGAAGGGGCCAAATCTCACTACCACAGAGCAGAACGGCCCTTACTGTGGCCTCGTATACACGGTCTTTCAGACGGAGGGAAACTCCCTTCTGTCGCCAAAGATTCCGCAGGTTCAAGAATACAGCTCTGGCTTCTGCAATGAGTGAGCTGACGTCAGTTTTTATGCGCCATTCGTTGCTGATGCAGCTGTTAAGATAAGTGAATTGATAAACCACGAGCTCCTAGTTAGCAAGGGTCAAGCGGTCATCAAGTGGCTGATGGTCCTGCAGCAACAATTTGCACTTCGAAGGTGCGAAGTGCATACCAAATAATGGGACCACTGCAGACAGGCTATTCAGGGTCCATTGGGCCGCCGCAACATCGTCGAAGAGCAATACGATATCCTCTGCATAATCTAGATCAACTAACCTTTCACCAAGCAACATTTCAACGCCTACATTGTGAGATTCCGCAAGGGAACACTCCATGATAGAATCCACGACTAAATTGAACAAAATGGGGAGATCGGACAACCCTGACTAACGCACTTGTGGTCGGAAAGCTATCCGATACGCCATCGTAGACCCTGACGCGGCCTGTAATGTTCGAGTACAGAGCACGAAGGGTGTTCACATATTTCGTGGAAACAGCTTTCCGCGCAAGCATTTCGAACAGAATGCATCGATCGAATGAATCGAACGCACACTTGAAACCGAGGAACACAGCTATTGTCGGTCTGCGGTATGCGTGGCGCTGCTCTAGCACCTGCCGCAAAGTGAATATATGGCCTATACAGCCATGTATTGCGCGGAAACCTGCCTATTCTTTCCTAATCCGAGATTCCCGTTCCGCAGTGAGGCGACGAAGGAGAATCGATGCCAGTAATTTTGTCACAACTGGCGTTAGGCTAATACCCCCGTGGTTAGAACAGTCTGTGGGACTGCCCTTCTTGTATAGTGCCATTATAATCGATTCGCTCATTTAACCGGAACACCTTTCAAATACGTTCGAATAGGAAAGTCAGTGCCTTGCAGAGGACCTCACCTCCATCCTTAAATACTGCAGATGGGAGAGAATCCAGGCCAGCAACACGAAAACGATTGAGGGCTGTGCTCACTTTTCGGAACTCGGCCTCCGACGGAAGCTCTAAACTAACCGTCCATGGCTCGTCCTGCATCACCTGAGTAGGAAGAGGTCCGAGAGCAGGAGGCCAGCTGAACTGATCTTGAAAGTGTTCCGCCCAACGAGCCATACGGCGCTCCTTGTTGTGTATCAGCGCACCCGCGCTCTCTGGTTGTCTCATTGAGGCATGGTTTTCTCAGACCAGTGGTGCGTATTAGTTGGAAGAGCTTGCGATAATTGCCTACCGCTCCTGCCTCCTCAATTTCTTGAGCCCCACTGGTCCACCAGGTTTCCTTGTCAGCACGTAGGCTCCGCTTTAGTTCGCGCCTAATAGCCCGTCTGGTCACATTGTGCTCAGAGCCAGAAGGGAGGTGTCTTCTAGATGCCAACAGCTTCACCGACCTCTCGGATATCCAGTGACTGGTGCGGTGACGATGGATAGTGCCACAAGCAGATGCTCCTGCGTCGTGCATGGCGGTCGAAACCTTGTTCCACTGAAGCTCAGTGTTATCAAAACAAGACAGTGAAAGTTCGGTCTTGATAGCCTTGCCTGACCGAGGACTGAGACAATTTTTCAGTTGTTAATCGGAGGAGACGCTTGGTGCGCCTCCCGGTAAACTTCGTGGAGAAACGACAGCGTACCAAGGCATGAGCAGTCGACGCAGGTACTCCGGTATGAGCGGCAATCCAAGATGGAACCACGCCATCTGTAACGTATTGCAATGTGGTCGAATTGCGTCCATCGCTAGCTGGCTACAGGAGGATGCCAAGTGGCACTTCCGTGCGCAGTGTCTAGAAGCAGTGCTACTAAGAAACAACGTGCGCTCCGCACACATTGGTAACAGAGGCTCACTGTTGTCAGTCCATTCGGAGTTAAGCCCATAAGTACCACCAGCTGAGATTCTGAAGTGCTCAGACGCCCTACTTGTGCATTCATATCCCCCGCAAGGACTAGAGCTGAACTAGTAGCACTGCGTAGTATCGGGTTCAGTTCGTGATAGAACGTGTCCTTGACAGCATTAGAACTGCAGTCGGTGGGAGCATAAACGGAAAGCACAAGAAAAACAGCGTTTTGTACTACTTCGTGAATCAACTTTAGCTGATTTCGTCAAACGGGCTGCACACAAACGGCTGTCCACCGGAATGCAATCATCTAACGATGGCTCAGCCTTGAATCTGAGAATGATACCTACACCAGCTTGACCCGTAAGTGCTGCATCGGCGTCTCCGAATGCGCGCAACCAGTTACGAGAGAAGTCGGGTGCACTTAATCCAACAACCCCATTAGGGTCATTGATCCTAGTTTCGGACACACAACACACATCAATACCCAGTGTGTCCAAGGTGCGTGCGAGTGCAGCCTGTTGACCTGTTTGTCTTAAAGTGCGAACGTTGAACGTCGCTGTGGAAAGGGGGTAGCGTGGCCTTATAAGGGACTTTTGCCGATAGGCGTCCGATAGGTGCGGTGGGATGGTGGCTACAGATGGTTCTACTCCAGTGGCATTTCGGTTGCCGTCAATTAAGCTGGGAAGTGTAGAAGGAAGGTTAGTAATGGAAGTCAAGATGGAAGTAAGAGAAAAAGGTGGAAAAGAAAGAAGAGAGACGCCAGCAGTAGCATGTTTTCGCTTATCCGCCCTGCTGTGTGCAGCAAATAATGTGACCCTTGATAAATCTGCGCCACGGCCGATGCCGGCTGAAGTTTATGTCTGAAGAAAAAGTCATGGTTGTATGTGGGCTGAGATACTGCCAGGGCGCCAAGACCTAGACAGGAGGACGATTAGGGTCCTCATCCAAAGCCTTTGGCTCAAAAGCCTGTCCGCAAGGCAGCGGGGAGGTACCAATGATTTGCACCGAAAGGGTCCCGGCCATCAATCGGGAGAACAGCGCATTTGTCACGCTTTATTGGGAGTTGCTACTCAACGGACCAGTTATGCAGCTGCTCAAGCAAAGCTTGGAGTCTGTCGGCATCCTCGTGACAAGATATTTCGGACTACAGTTTGAGATCATCAGCGTAGACTAGATAGCCGGTTTGCAATGTCGCTGGAAGATCGCTGATGAAGTTTAAAAACCTCTTCTTCAAGGACGGAGCCTTGGGGAACCTCATTGGTCACAAGCACAGGGACAGCGTTTGGTTCACCTTCACTTGAAAGATTCATGCTCCCAGGAAGTCTGAAATCACTGGCAAGATATTTCCGGTGACACCAACTCCCTGACGTTTGTGCAGAAGTCGTTTATGTGGCACATCGTCAAATGCCTTGCTGAAGTCATTGAAGACGAAATCAAGGTGTTTCCTCACGTCTGTTGCATTAACTCATACATCTCTGGCAGCAAGCAGGTTAGTAATGCTAGGGTCGTGCCCTGTGAAATCCGTGCTATGAAGGGGAGATTACGCATAAGCCTTCCCAGTGCGCATTGAGAGTTCACTTGATTATTCTATCCGGGAGAAAGAATGACCTTGGAAATCCATTATTTCAGCGATTAATCGATTATTAACGATTATCGCACCGATTTCGAACGCTCCGGAATGTTCTGCTTCTGCACGTGATTAAAATCCACCTGAAGCCTCGGCAAAAGACATGGGGAACCAATAACCTTGGTAGCTGACCTTCCAATTCTAGAAGTCGAAGGTCAGTAGAGACCTATAAATACAGTCAAGGTCCGCAGTCGTCGTGCAGTGCTCGTTGGCGGCGATTAATACGTTATTTTGTCAACGTCATTGGCGTTTTGCTTTTTCCTTCGGTTGCGCTAGAAGTTTTGTGGAATAGTAAATTGTTATTTTCAAATTTTGTCTAGTGAGAAGATTATAACAAACGGCGACGGCAAAAATTGCAAATGAGGTGAATTTTTCTGCATGCTTACCCTCACCAGTTTTATCGAATTTTATGGCTGAGGTTATTTGATTTCTGATTTGGCTACCCAAAATCATGAACGAGCCTGCTCCATCCGACACAGCAAGTGATAGCGATTTTGATGAACAGGATTTCACCGCTGAAGAGGATGATGACAGTATCGCGCCAGATGAGGATGCAGCTGATGAGGAAGAAATTGACAGTCTAGTAAAATGACTCCAGCTACTACTGGGCCGGCGATCTCCGTTTCACGTTCTGGTCGACTCCGAACCACTCGTCGAACCGGACGACGACCCATATCATCTGTGGAGGAAGATGCATCCGAGCGAATCAAAGCTGAATCCTCTTCATCCGTCTATGTCAAGCGCAATCGCCGCTCCCCACCATCTCCGTCATCCTCCTTGGACACTCTTCCTTTGGAATCTGCTCTTTTCGCTGTCGATGCAAACGGGATCGAAAACAACAATCCTACGTGCTCCGAACTACGTAGGCTCCCTCCATTCGACGCCCCTCTTCCGTCTTCAGAGACAAGCGACGTCATCCGTCCCGATATAACTGTTCCCAAACAGCTTAATGTGCGGCGAACTACCGGTCTCCACAGCTCTGCTAGTAAACAGCGCACTAAGCCCATTGAGGCTTCCGCTAACTTACCACAACAACTTGCTTCAGCGGAAGTAATACAAAACCCTCCGTCGCCCTGTGGAAGCCGTCCCAACTCTACTACGCTGCTGGCTTGTCCTGTCGATCTTGAATATGACCCTCGGGATTGCACATCTCCCGATCCCCCGGAAGACGACGGTGAGGAGAGTCATGACAGTGGACACGATGAAACGTATTCCACTCGGTTTTGGAAACGTGCAATTGTTGGCGGTGAGTCTCCTGCATCTTACAATTCCGATGACGACGAGGAGTACGCTCCCAGCGTTGACAGCGGGCAGGATTGGCGAGGTGAAATCCGCATTGGCGAGGAGTATCAGGCGCTAGTTCCTCCATACGCGTCATCACACTCACGCGATGAGTCATTGCTGTCGTGGGACACCCGGCGCATTGAGTCCGAATGCAGTCAGTTGTGGCAACCGGGCAAACTTTCAGAGGCCGAGGTCGTTCGCTTTGAACGGTTGTTCGCTCAGGCCGTCGCGTTTCCTCGTCCGAACGACAAAACAGTCGACGATGAAGAGGCATTGTTTCTTCTGATGAGATGTGACTACGACCCGGACGAGGCTCTCCAACGTTTGCGGTTTCGGACCGTTTTACCTTCTGAATGTGATGTTTGATGGGGTAAAATGTCATGGTCACTACATGCTTTTTCCACAGCAAGCTCAAATGGAGGCACAAATAAAAATGATTGAAAATCTGACACAATGTTTGAGTTTGCAATTAACAGAAGCAGAGCTCATTTATGAAGACCAGGAACAAGCGGAGTCCAACTACCGAGCCCTGATGTACGCCGCATTGAACTTCGGTGGATTCTGGTAGGTTGCTTCGAACCCTCACATTCAGGTTACGTTGCAGGAGAAAGTCTCCTATCCAGCCCAGAACAGGATCACCGATTCCATATTTCTGGAGTTTGTGGAGGAGAATGCGATGGTCTATGCGGTCGAATGCCGCGTCAACTCCTACACCGGCGTCCACAGATTCCGTCCAGCTTGCACCAGCAATCAAGAGATTAGTTGTACAGGAGTGATTTCGGCGAGATCCATGCTGTTGCGGAACGAAAATTTTGCTGTTCTTCAGGTACCCCATCAAAGCTTCAGCTACAATGGACTCCATAACCTTGGAGATCACAGGCAGTAGTGTTATCGGGCGATAGTTTGCTGGTTCAGCACGGCTACTATTTTTGTAGATAGGCGTGATGATTCCGTGCTTCCACATCGTGGGGACGTGCATCTCGTTCAGACATCGTTGAAAGAAAATTGCTAATGGTCCTGCCAAACTCATGGCAGCAAATTTCAACGCCTTCGGTCGAACGTCGTCCGCACCCGGGGAGCTGAACTCACGCAGAAACATCAGCCCCTTCAATACAGCTGCGGAGGTGAACGATATGTGATTAAGCCCTGATGGCGGCGTTATCTGCTTAGGCAGGATGAATGGTGACTGCGCGCTTTGGAAGGTACGGCCAAATTGTTATCCAAGGAGGTTAGCCGCCTCTTGGACGGTTTGGGCTAACCCGCATGCTGTGTGCAGAGCAGGAATACCGCGCTTAACACGACGCAAATTGTTTACGTGTCTGTGTAGCAGTTTGGGATTGGAGCTAAACTTTTCCAACAAACCTTGTTGGTTCTTAAGTTTATCCTCCCGGACGAGTTTGACACAGTGGTTCCTTTGTACTGTGTAGACATCCCAGATCCGGTCGTTCGGGGAGGCTATGTAAGTTTGCCATGCCAAGTCCCTTAATGCCATGTACTTATGTGTCCAGCTCCTTACGAACGGCTTCATCCTTTTAGGTCGGTAGAGTTTGGCTTCAGATGTCCTTGCCACGAACTTGGTAAATATGTTGACGAATTCACCGCAGGCCACCTCAGGGGTTAATTCAGCTAAGAACGACTGGCTTGTTGCATCAATTAGGCCGGACAAGTCTTCGTAGTTGGTTACGACACGATATTCCTCGGTATGCTCTATTGGATAATCCGCGTAGCACATGTACTGAAACAATAGCGTCGCATGATCACGGCGGCCCAAAGTAGTATCTGTTATCACACTCTCGACCATCAGTTTTTCATTGGTGAATATTCGGTCCAAAATGGATGGCCTGTCAATTCCCCTGAATCTGGTGGGCGTAGTGACGTGGCCATAAAGAGGGTAGTCTGAAACCAGATCTTGCAACTTTGTTTTGAATTGCTCTCCTGTGTAGCCTGGGATTCGAAGGCATGTAAGTTGAAGTCACCGGCGATTAGAATGTGACTGTACTTCCTCTTTATCACTTGCCTCAACGCAGCCATCAAATTGCAGTCCATCTCAGGAGTAGACGATGGTGGGCGGTAGACAACAACCAATAGGCCAAGCTCGTTCCCTTTCAGCCGGAAATTACACCAAATGGCGTCAGGTACCTCGGTTTCCGAATCGTTTATGCGTTCGCATTTCATGTCGTTACGAAAATTAAGGGCTACCCCACCACCTTTGCTGGTTCGATTATTCCAGACAACGGACATGCCCGTTAGTGCAATCGCAGCATCCGTTAGCTCGCAGTGCAACCACGTTTCAGGGACAGCGATGAGGTCCCAAGCTGCAGACGCGCGTCGAAGTCTTAATTCGGCAAATGTGCTGAGTAGACCTTGGGCATTTGTGTACATGCATGAGAGTATCTCGGAGACCAAAAGTGTGTTAGAGTGGATGGATGAAGCAAAAGAGTTTACGCCGACCAATAAAGGGTCGGCGACTAATCGTTTTTTGGATGGGTTGCATACTCTCGAGAAGTATTTAATATATAAGAAGGTATCAGATGCCCCGAATCCCGGTGTTTGCTCGTGCTCTGCTCTGCCCCTCCGGATAGTATGGCTACTCTTGAAACCGTCCCCGAGTCAGGTCCTGAAGTTGGCGTTTTCCCTAAGAGTTGTGCCTCTACTGAATTGTCGTTTGATGGCTTTTGTGTTCCTGCTGCTTTCAGCCGAATTTCTGTTGGCAATCTGCAACGGAATTTAATCCAGTTCGCTAGTAGGTTTTGTGCCATTAGTGCTGACTGTAATACAAGTTTTAACAGCCTGGGACCGCACCCCTTATAGTTTGGTGATATGGGGATCCTTGTCAACGAGGTGACCACCACATTTTCGAGAGAAAGAGCCTTCCGGATGTAGTGCCATTGCTCGCGGTCATGCATCTGGGCATCGTCGGAAGAGAAGTCAGTAAGCTCAGGAACACCGTGGGCAATCACTGTTTTCTTATCTTGACTTATTCTATATTTATCTTTGTTAGCACGATCCCCTGAACATCCTTTCCACGGGATTTCGGGTAGTATGCGCACTCCACTTGAGTCGTTGCGGAGACGATTCGCAGACAGCAGAACGGCCTCAGTCTCGTCCGCCGAGTTTAGTGTTACACGAAATAACCGGGGTTCGCCGTAGTGCAACGCGTCTGGGTGGCGCGAGATTCTTCTTAATTTCTTGGGATTAGCATGGACACCGATCGACGTACAGATGGAACCCCACTGATTTTGATCGTCCGTCAACTTACCCTTAATTGTATTGGATTTGGATTCGGGGACATTTGTGCATACAATGTTTAGGGCACCATGGTTGCGCCTGGTGGCTACTGGTTTTGGATTTGGAGGCTCAGTATCCGGTGTTTTTGTTGAATTTGGGAACGGCATTGGTGTGGGCCATCCGTGCTGCGGCAGTTTTGTTTTTTCTAGTCCGGGCACAAAGGTTACCGGTGCTCTTTCCGGTGTTTGCTTGGCGGCAACCGATGCGTACGTTGCCAGGTTGTTCACTATTGCTGGTTGACTGTAGCTTACAGTCTCGAGTGTAGCGAACAGACTACTAGGTGCAGCACACAGTACAGAAGTTAAGGCAGGCGCGCTGCAGGTACTGTTTTTATTTATAGGAGGGAGAGAGAATGGAGTTGATAATGCTGGAGGCTGAGTCGTTGGGATTTGGTTGGGACGCCTGTCTCGTTTCTTCGGCCTGATTAGGGAATTCGGGGTGTTATTTTCACTCACTAGTGCAGGTCTGTTTCCTCCCATGGGTGAAACTCGGGCGCTCACCAGTTGCTCGACCGCTTCGGTTAATCTTTCACACCTCTTCAGTAGCACAGCTAGACAGCTAACAAATGGAATAGACCTGCATACTTGGCAGAAGCGAAACGCTTCTGCGGTGTTTGCTTTCGTCGACCCCTTCCCAAGGCAGGTAATGCGAGAGGATTTCAAACACATGGTACACACCGGACCACTTTTTACCACTTTAGCGCATGATTCGCATTTGCTCTTCATACGAGACATGTTCTGTGCTGTTTTAAAGGGTAGAAAGATTATAGAGATACTGACGCCCCGTTGCGTGGCGATCGGCGCTGGTTTTAGGTCAGCGGGTCCAGGCGTGTCACGGCCAGATAAGCCACACGTTCTTTAGGGCAGAGAGGCGACGTGCGTGCTATCGATCCAGCCGGTAGAGGGTAGGCAGCGATGCGACGTAGGACTGAGGCAAAGCAAGGTGACTTGGAAAATAGTGTCTAAGGACGACAGTGGCAGTTCCAAGGGCGGATCAAATTGTCGACTATCGCTTTGTAGAGCGACTTGAAGGAATGGTAGTAAGCTGATCGGGTGACTCTCAAAAAGATCTTTAAAGTAAGACCACTAGTGTTCTTATGCGACGCGAGGAAAATTAAAACCTTCGCTAAGGTTCAAATACGGCTGACTTCGAAGTTGCAAGAGCACTGTTTGTTGGTGATCCGTGAATGATAGATACAATAGATGAACAGTGGTAGGAGGAGCTGGCGGGGCCAAATCGAATGATGGCACGTAGGTCTCTGTGAGAATAAATCCCAAGATTTGGAGGCGAATAACGCAGGAGAACAGTTATTTTGCGACCGCTCGTGTGCGTGTGGATTGAAAAGTTGAAGCTCCTCGATGTTCCCTTGATTCAGATCTGCAACCGAGTTCGAGCACATCCAGACTTATCATCAAAGTCCTTTGAAGACATGACACGTACCCTGAGGCGAAAATTTGCCTTTGGCTTTCAGGATGGCTTGGGCCATTGTAAAAAATGCAAAGCGACACTGAACTTGCGACCAGGTGCTAAACCAGTGTTCAAGGCCAAAAGACCGGTACCATATGCAGCCATGGCAGCCGTTGAGCAAGAGCTCGATCGAATAGAACGTGCCCGAGTCATCACAGCCGTCAACTACTCATCATGGGCCGCACCGTTGTCGCAGTGAAAAAAGCCAAAAGGCAAGGTACGCGTTTGCGCTGTCTTTTCAACTAGACTCACCGCCGCGCTGGACGACCACCAGTACCCAATACCCGTACCGGAGGATATCTTGCAAAGTTGAATAGTGGTAAGTACTTCGCTAAGCTTGATCTAGTTGATGCTTATCTGCAAGTACATGTTGACGATGTCCCGAGGGAGTTGTTGACGATCGACACTCATCGTGGGCTATTCCAATACAACCGCTTGCCACTTGGTGTGATAACGGCGCCAGCCATTTTCCAACAGTTGATGGACACCATGCTAGCGGGAGTTTCTGGAACCGCTGCATATCTGGATGATATTATAGTGATGGGTCGAACACCAGAAGAACTATTCAACCGCCTAGATAAAGTGCTTGGCTGTATACAGTCGTACGGTCT